TATATATATATATATATATATATAAATCATGAAATTTGCCAATAAATATATAAATGAATAAGTTTTATTAATAAATACATTTAATTTAATAATTAAACAAAATAATAATAAACCATGACATGTGACAATAAATAAATATAATATGCACATCAAATAAATACATAACATGTCATTTTATTACATTATTATATAATATATTAACACATAATAATTGTTGACATTTCATCATTTATATATTTAGTGAAAGATACATTTATTTATTGCTACATAAGCACATTATTTTTATGATGATTATTTTTGGTTATTTTTGTTTTTTATTGAAAGCTAGATTGGCAAATACATTGGTGTATTTAATCAAAGACTCATTTATTTGTTTATATGGCACTTACGTTCTTCCATATGATAAAAAAAATAATAAAATCGTAAGAAATAAATCTCTTTAACTTTAATGAATGCTGGTAATTTTATTGTAGTAGTAGCACTGATTTTAGCATCTGAGCACTTTTAAGTGATCAGCCTCCAAACATTATGGTAAACTGGACATGGCGCACAGTCAAAACAGGGATTTAAAAACTGATCTAAGCAAAAAAACAGTCGTGAACAATTGTTTGGCCAAAATCATGTGAAACTATGGGCGTATTCTATCTGTGTGTGTGTGTGTGTGATTTTATTTTTCTATGGTGTTTTACCAAGGGAATCCCTCAAGAGGGAAAAAGCAAATGTGGGGAAACTACCCAAACATATTTGAAAAATATAACATACAGCGCCCTCTGGTGGTAACAAACGGCTCAAATAGATGCATCAGTTTCTCTTTTGTTTAGAATTTTTGGTTTATGTTTTCCTGAGTGTTATGCCTGTAGTCTTGGACATTAAACTGACCCCTTATCCCCACTCTTCACCCATTATAACTAGCTTCCATCAGTGTAGCTCACCATATTCTCCAAACATCAGCAGTGTTAGCTGTTTATGTTCCACTATCTTGGAAACAACCTTCACCCCCGCCCAGATCACCAGCATTCCCAATGTGGCATCCAACAGGAAGTTCAACAGATATCTGTTAAAAACAGAAAAGGGCCATTCGGTTAGTTTAATGCCAGGTTAAAGCAATAAACTTGACAAATAATCAGGCTAATAATTGACTCACAGAGAACAGGGATCTTCATTGGTGAGTGTGGACAAGAAAACGTTGGCAAAATGCATGAAAAGAGCCCCAACGGCCTGCTTTGACGTATCAAAGAACCTGGAGAAAACAAAAGAGAATGAGAGTTTGCTCTCTTCTGTGCTATTTTTGTATTATTTTAACATAATTCTGAACTAATGTTTAATATTATTACCAGATCCTCCATGGTCTTCTTATTCCGACGGGTTCACGAAACCTTTTCACTGTAAAGACAAAGACGTAAAGACATCTTATTTTTTGTTGTTTTTGAAAAAAATGAACTATCGTGTGCTTACCAAGGCTGCATTTATTTGATCGAAAACACATTAAAAATAGTAATAATGTGACATATTATCACAATTTAAAAAACTTTTTTTAAATTTAATATATATTTAAAAGGAGTTCTGTCATCGGTGTCGCATGATCTTTCAGAAATAATACTAATATGCTGATTTGGCACAAGAAATATTTCTTATTATTATCAATATCTAAAACTGTTTTGTACTGCTTAATATAGTTTTGCAATACAGGATTTTTTGATGAACAAAACATCATTTATTTGAAATACAAACTTTTATAACACTATTAATGTCTTTACTGTCATGTTTGATCAATTTAATGTATCCTTACTGAATAAAATATTAATTCTGATTAATATCCAATATGTTATATATGTTCTATAAGGAACAAACATTGGTTTGGATGCAATGGAGGGACAAAAATGAGATAAAAAGGTTGTCTGTATCAGTTAGTTAACAAAATATCAAATCAAGTGTCCTTTATTTTAAAGAAATATAGTGTATATATATATATATATATATATATATATATATACATACTAATTTGGAATAAATTGGAATGGCTTGAGGGTGAGCAAATGGGGGAGAGAATGACCCAAAGGGGTCACAATAAATTACATTTTAAATTATATTCAAATAGAAAACAGTTATTTTAAATAGCCTAGTAAAACTATTTTAAACTTTTACTGTTTCGCTGTACTTTGGATCAAATAAATGCAGGCTTGGTGAACAGAAGAGACTTCTTTAAAAAACATTAAAAATCTTACTGTTCAAAAACTTTTGACTGGTAGTCTATAGGCAACTTACGTCTTCATGTTTAAACGTTTCTGTTTTTCTGTGAAAACAACTGTTTTCATACAGCCACGCTTTTGTCCATATTAGGAATTTCCTGGTACGACTTTCTGCCCGAGAGCGCCCTCCGGCTTCGAGTATGAATGAAACATACATTGCACGGAGTGTTTAGCACCCCGCGATGTTCATCTCGCCTTATTCTGTGTCCGAATAAAACATCCACTGTATATAGGCCTATATAGACCATTTTAAACCTGTAAAACATATTTTTGTGAAATATTTTGCTTGAAAAATTAATATATTATTGCTTTTTAAAATAATATATATTCATTTTTAATTAATAATAATAAGGGGGCTTTGCCCCATTTCACATACATTACAAATGATTAAAATAAGAGTAAAATATAAGTGATAAAAAGAGATAAAAACATAGAAAAAAAGAGTACATTTAACAACAAAAATCGTAAAACTGAAACGAAATTCAATTTTATGAGGTTTAGATACTACTTCAGCCTCATTGAAAACTTTTTTTAAATTATGTTGAATATCAAAAATAGATTAGGTTTTTTTTTTATTTTTTAACAACACTTGGGTGAATTAAGATGAAAAAAAAGTTCTGTTAAACCTAAATGCCCCACCACTGTCTTTATAATAGTCTAGCACACATAAGCCAAAATTAAATCAAATAAATTGGAGGGGGGGAAAAAACAGCTAAACCACCAACAAAATTATAAATGAAATAATGCTATCACTGATGTACATCAAAACAAGCGCTCTCAAGGAACATAATAATTGCATTTAATGCCAAAACTCTATGTCAAACTAGCCCACTATAACAGAAGCTGAAAGACATATCTGGATCTTTTTCAAATATGCAAACGGTTACTCTGTAATCACCAGCCAAACAGAAGCAGGATGATGATTATTGAATGTCTGAGGAAACTAACAGTGATGACGTCAACAAAGATAAGCAGCCAAAAAGAAGCCAGGAAGTGGCCAGAATAACAAAGAGGAAGTGCATTCAGTAAATACACAAGCATGAGCAGAGCTCTGACAGTGTTCATAAGATAGAACTTCTCCCAGCTTTGTTTTTAGGTCAAATTTCTTAATCTATCCTGAAAATGTAAGCTAAACTTCTTACTGGAAAAAAAATACATGAATAAATAAATGCCAGTCCTCTGATAACAACTAATGATTAGGATATTTTTTTCTCTGTACACAGCAAAAAGTCTAATGATCAACAGGAACAGCACAGATCCATGGTAATGTGTAACTTTAGAAAGGTCAGAGGTCATTTACCATGTTTTTGGGGGTTATTCAGTGCATGACCAAAAAAAAACAAGCTGCTTTTGGGAAGTAGGAATTAGAAACCTATTTCACATCCTTTGGCAAAAAAAAAATGTGAGGCCTAAAACTCACTGCCATCATGCCGGGACATTGCTAAATTGGCCTTTTTTTTCACCTATTTTATCATCCAACAGGTAAAAATCTAAATTCCGATTGCTGAGAACTTCAACAAGCTGCATGTTTTGAGTTCTCATTCCTATCCGTACCCCAAATGTGGGACAAGTTACTCAAAGTTTTAATCTAACACCTAAGTAAATAACATTCTAACACCTCCACATTCACTTTATAAAATGATCAGTAGCAGTTTGAATGAATATTAGGTCAGAATGACCAAATATCAACCGAGCAAACACTATAGTGTATCTTTGAACTGAATGATCACATGACATGGTTAGATATTGGGAAAGAAACAACTCTGGACCTTAGGGTTGAAACTTGAAAGGAAGGTCACATGACTCGAACCCTCCAGCTGGAAACAGAAGCTTGAGTTTGGGATCTGAGCATCACATGAGCTACAGGAGTCGATGCTGTTATCATGTGTTATCACACAGCTAAACAATCTTATCTTTGAGTAACACTCGTACCTCATAGGAGAAGAGTTTTTTTGTTGGAAAGTGAAATGCAGTCAGTTTTACTAATTTACTAACTTACTAATCTTTTTCATTTTCTGCTGACCTCTCTTCGCTATACTCGATAATGTCAATCAAGAAACAAATAGATCTTTAGGCATTGTTTCTGCAAACTCTGCTTTGTTCATGATCCAATCAATTCCCAGTTGATAAAATCAGCCTACATATTTTCCTCACTGAATATCCTGTTGCAGTTGCACTCAGAAATACATCACATTAAGGAAACAAAACGAAGTGTAATTCATGTTTACTTCAAGTGACAAAGTCTAGAGTCCACAATCATGAAATTAACAAATGTTCATCAAATACTGCATTTCCTCACCTTTTTGCCAATTTCTATTACTTTTCCAGTAGTTTGTGATTAATTAATATTTTTTTAGTTTTAACGAATTAATGATTTGTTTTTATATCTCCATGAGTTTTACTAATTTACTAACTTACTAATCTTTTTCATTTTCTGCTGACCTCTCTTCGCTATACTCGATAATGTCAATCAAGAAACAAATAGATCTTTAGGCATTGTTTCTGCAAACTCTGCTTTGTTCATGATCCAATCAATTCCCAGTTGATAAAATCAGCCTACATATTTTCCTCACTGAATATCCTGTTGCAGTTGCACTCAGAAATACATCACATTAAGGAAACAAAACGAAGTGTAATTCATGTTTACTTCAAGTGACAAAGTCTAGAGTCCACAATCATGAAATTAACAAATGTTCATCAAATACTGCATTTCCTCACCTTTTTGCCAATTTCTATGACTTTTCCAGTAGTTTGTGATTAATTAATATTTTTTTAGTTTTAACGAATTAATGATTTGTTTTTATTTCTTTTTTTATCTCCATGACTTTTTCAGCTGTAGAAATTTTTTTTTTAATTTTTTAAAAGTCACTATTTTAAAATACCCTAATATTTCAATGTTTTCCAACACCATTTGAACTGCACATACGATTTGTTACCAGATGACTGTAATATTAGATGCAGGTCACCATCATCCTAACACCACAGAGTCTAAATGTCTTGTTCCTCATTTAAAAAAAAAAAAAAGATGTATGAGATGGAGACGGAAATGTGGTATAAAAATTGAGTGAAAGAAAAACATTTCATAGGGCCCAAGTTTATGTGTGGATAGGTGTGTATGCTGTTTTGTTTATTTAGGTCACTGAATGATATTATAATATGCAGCGCTATTGATTAAAAGCCATTAAGTTTCCTTATTGCTTGAAGGTTACACACTTCAGATCTTGAATTAGCACACAATGAGAAGAGTGAATGCATTAAAAGCACCAGGAAGAAGGGGGGAAAAACATATTACAAGACATATTAACTAAGGCGGAATCAGAATATTTAAAACCATCACATTGTCTCTGTTCTGTAAATATTATTTCAGTGTGTTTTTTTGTACATATTTTGCTTAGCCTAAATATGTGTCAGTTTTTTGTTTAAATATTAAGACAGATTAAACCTAAGTACATCAACAAATGTCATTTAAATGTTCTAATTTGTCATTTTAAAGGGGTCATATGATGCTGCTAAAAAGAACATTATTTTGTGTATTTGGTGTAATGAAATGTGTTTATGCGGTTTAAAGTTAAAAAAACACATTATTTTCCACATACTGTACATTATTGTTTCTCCTCTATGCCCCGTCTTTTTTAAACGACTTTTTGTCGATTTTTACAAAACTCATCGGTCTGAAAAAGCGAGGTGTTGGGTTAAATACAACCCAGTGCTGGGTAAAATAGGGACAAACCCAGCAATTGGGCTGTTTTGACCCAGCGGTTGGGTTAAATGTTTAACCCAACCTTCTGGGTAGTAACCCAACCGCTGGGTCAAAACAGCCCAATTGCTGGGTTTGTCCCTATTTTACCCAGCACTGGGTTGTATTTAACCCAGCATTTTTTAGAGTGTAGAATTAAAATAGAACAGAAAGCGCTAGACTTAGAGGGTCAAATAAAGGTGGAACAGATGTGTTTTTAGTCGTTTCTTGAATTTTGTCTATTGTGATTTTAAAAAATCACTACAAAGGGCCTATGTATTTAAAAACCAAAGTTAAAAAATAGAAGTTATTGATGGACCTCTTGGAATGGGGCAGTCAGTTGTTCTAAGCAATTCCAGGGTATGTTAGTGTACTTGCGTGATGCATCTGCTGATCTCTTGGCCCTTATAAAATCTATCTTTATGAGTAAACCATTCACAAAACACTGAAAAATACAGTTGTTTTTCAGAAGTTACCACAGCAACCAACCTCTCATAAAAACATTGTCGCATCTCAGGTTTATAAGCACTAAGTCAATGTTCCTCAGCCTTTTTTTAAGCCACTTTTCAGCCGTGACAGACAGTAAAAGGAGTGTAATGGGGTGGGACTGCTTGGTTTTTTCAGCTTCAATGATCCATAACTCTAAAGACATTAATTTATGCAATGCAACAATGAGCCAGAACTGAAGCGTGTCCAACAGAAGAAATTACATATGGTACAACATCAGATTAATAGATTTGACTTCAAAGAAATAAAACAGTTTTATAAGACATACAAGCAGTATTAGGACAATGAGGTGCATTAATCAGCAACTACAACTGTATTTGGTTTATTGCTTATAAAAATGATCCCATAGTAAATCAGTAGGAAATCACTCAAGTTTACTATCAATAACTTTGACTATGCAAACCATTTTGTTCAACAGATATTGTGCGGCATTTTTTTCACTAACTTTATTTACTATATTTAGGAGCTGTTATCACAGCTGTGTACAGCAGATTTTGTTTGTTTTATGTTTTAAGTCATGTCTTCTATTTTGAATGACATTCTTGTCACTCTTGTCAAGCTTTGTTCAGTGAAACCCGCAGTTGGTGTGTCTGTTTATTTTGTATTCATCAGTGTTGGGGAAAATTACTTTTAAAAGTAATGCATTATAATATTGTGTTACTCCTTAAAAAAGTAATGATGTTACTTAGTTACTTTTTATGGAAAGTAATGCATTACAATATTGTGTTACTCCTTAAAAAAGTAATTATGTTACTTAGTTACTTTTTATGGAAAGTAATGCATTACATTACTTTTGAGTTGCTTTTTAAATCTGGACAAGACTTGATTGTTTGTCCTTAATACAAAAAAGTTATTTTACAAATGTAAAAGCCCTTTCACAACAAAAGTGAAATGAATACGCCTCAGGCTGAAGGAAATGTAAATTCACGTCTGTACAGTAGAGGGCGCAGCTCAAACAAACTGCATGAAGAATATGACGCAGGAGAAGAAAGTTCAACACTATTCATCAAAAACAAAAATGAAATGCACGTGTCATTTTTGCTTAGTATGATTGAATTGGATCATCGAAAGTCAATAGCAAAGAGATTGGTTAATAAAATGGGATTAAATACATAAATTATATTTGTCTTATTTAACATTTAATTATTGCAGGTTTGTATAATATTCTGAGTTTGCATTTGATTGTTTTTATTCATTTTGAGGAATACTGAATCTGTTTTTGTGCAGGTGAGATGAGGAAATACATGCTCATATTATTCTAGAACTATGCATCATGTTCACACAGCGAGCACAATCCCTCAGGCTGATGATACACGGGGCAATTTTTTTAGCAATTTTGACAGGCAACTTTTTTTGAGCAATGTTGCTTGGGCACATTTCCATTGAAAATGAGTAACAAATTTCTATCGGAATACTTTAAATCAGTCATGGGCCCTGTGTCTCACCTGGTTGGCCGTTGACGGCAACATTGCCCAAAGTTGCCCAGCAACATTGCTCATAAAGTTGCAGAAGACAACTCAAGGGTTCCATTAAGAAGAACTTTTGAAACTCATGAGGCTGATGATACACAGGGCAACTTTTTTAGCAATTTTGCCGGGCAACTTTAGCTAATATTGCTGTCAATGGGCAACCAGGTGAGACACAGGGCCCACGACCGATTTAAAGTATCCTGATAGAAATTTGTTACCCATTTTCAGCGGGAAAGTGCCCAAGCAACACTGCTCAAAAAAATGTGCCTGGCAAAATTGCTCAAAAAGTTGCCCCATGTATCATCAGCCTCAAGTGACGCCACTACTGGCTGTGACTGTACTGGCAAGGAACACTGGGAACTCTGGAACGGCCTCTGTGGCCGTGACAGAGCAGAGAAGGACAGCCTTCATGGCATGTCAGAACAGGCAGGGCAGTGGCAGAACAGAGTTGCAGTGGACGATGCCACCTCAAATGAGGAAGTGTGTATAGCAAGATGGCAGTAGTCATCACAGGAAGCACTGATGACAAAGGTAGCACCTCTGGGACCACCGGAGCATGGACTACCAGGCTTGGAAACTTCAAGACCACTGAAGTAGAGACCACCGGGTTTGGGACCTTCAGGACCACTGGTCCCTGGTGCTGAGATCACCAGAATTAGGATCACTGGTCTAGGGAGCGCTGGTACCATCAGGCTCAGGAAAGTTGGGACAACTGGACTTGGGACCA